GATGTCGACCAAAAACATGATGCACCCTCCTTTCTCCCCTCCCCCCTCCTCTTTTATCGCTCAAAACCCAACAATCGTACCCTTTTTCGTGCCCCGCTGCCCACCCAGACCCTAACCCCCCCCCCACCAAGGAACACATTCTTTCAGCCGCCTGTCATGTGTCTTGTTCCGCCCAACCGCCTTGCCGCTGCCGCACCGCCCACCCGCACCCACCCCTCGCCCTGTCTCCTTGCCTGAGTATCAACGGGGTCCACCAGACGCCCTCAGACACTCCAGCGACGTCTTATCTCCCCTCGAACGATCCTCTCGCTCCCGTCTGTCTACCTGCTCCCGGGCACCCCCTTGGCACCCCCCCCCTCCTCCTGAAGGAAAGAGGTTTAAAACCCTTTCGGGATCTGCATCACTGACACATCCCTCCTCGCTCTTAGACTGCGGATCAAGGCACTGGAAAACAAACCACACATGAACAAACGCATCACACACACACAGGAAAAAAACGCAAACAAAAGCACGCAAACACACGCAAAAAAATCTGGGCCCCAATTCGAAGCAGATAACGCAGCGCGCACTTGGCGAGGCGTCGCTCTCGGATCGGCGCGCGATGGAGCGGAACCGAGCATGCAAGGGCCGTGCATGTGTGCGTGTGTATGTGTGTCTGTGTGTGTGCGTGTGCGTGTGCATGTGTGTGTGCGTGTGCATGTGTGTGTGCGTGTGCGTGTGTGCCTGTGCGTGTGTATGTGCGTGTTCGTGCGTGTGTATTTGCATTGTTGTGTGTGTGTGTGCATGTACATGTGTGTGCGCGTGTGCATGTATGTGTGCGTGTGCATGTATGTGTGCGTGTGCATGTATGTCTTCGTGTGCATGTGTGTGTGCGTGTGCATTGTACATATGTGGCGTGCGTGTGCGTGTGCATGTATTGTGTCGTGTGTGCATGTGTGTGTGTTGAATGTGTGTCTGTGTGTGAATGTGTGTTTGTGCGTGCATGTGTGTGTCTGTGCATTGTGTGTGTGTGTGTGTGTGTGTGTTGTGTGTGTGTGTGTGTGTGTGTGTGTGTGTGTGTGTGTGTGTGTGTGTGTGTGTGTGTGTGTGTGCTGTGATGTGTGTGTGTGCTGTACATGTGTATGCTGTGTGTGGTTGTTGTGTGTGCATGTACATG